AAAATAATGAACATGGAAGTTCTCTCTCCCCCCCTCCTTACACACACACACACACACACACACACACACACAGAGAGAGAGAGAGAGAGAGAGAGAGAGAGAGAGAGAGAGAGAGAGAGAGAGAGAGAGAGAGAGAGAGAGAGAGAGAGAGTATCTTTCATCTCTGGCAAATCATCAATTTAACAAACATACTTCTGCTGATCAATGCCTCCACTTCAGGAAATGCTTTGTGCATCCATGAGCTGCAAATCTGGTGGTAAACAGGTAACCTGGATTGATTCCTCCCCCCAAGAAGTGCTTTAGATGCTTGCCCTGCTTTAGTATCAGATAAAATATTGTTTCATTGCAGCTTTTTCATTACAAGTGCTATGAAGCCAGTGTGGAGCAGAGAATTGTATTTCTTCTCGGAAGACAGAAAATTGGTTTCCATAAAGCCTCCAAACTGCAAATTTTGACAAATAGCGCTCTACTGAAAGTCTATGTCACAATACAGTTAACATCAAGGATTGCTAGTTTGGTTTAGTAGTTAAGGCACCTGGGTAAAACCAGGAGACTGTGAGTTTCTCAGAACTCTTTCTGACGAAGAATGCTAACAACCAGATGACTGAAAGGAATATAAATCCTTCCATTCCCCACCATTCAGTCAGAACTGAAGAAGCTTCTTGGATGAGAAGCAAAACATCTTCAAGGAAGTCCAGTTGCCTCTTGAAAAAAGCACCTTGAGACAACCATGACCTGGATGACTGAGAATCTCCATAGACATTATGGGCAAAGGTATCTGGAAATCTAGAAATGTTAATTGGAAAATAATTTAGAGTCAGAATTAGCAGAGGGTGCAGCCAAAGGTTAGGGTAGCTACCCAATGTCAGGTGCTGACTCCACTGTAGTCCCAATACATTACCATCTAGGAAATGTTTTAGTTGCAATATTTCTGCATGGAATGCTGCTGGCATTTACAGGCTGAAAAGCAAAAATAATGAAAAAAGTTGGCATCCTTATTTTAAAAAGAAGGTTAGAGATTATGCAATAAGTAAATTAATGAAAATAAAAGGGGGATTGATTCTTAAATGTAATAAAAGGCTGTGGGTTCATGGGGCCTTGGGATCTGGGGGTTTATCTTCCTTAGTTCCGGATGGATTTGCACTACCCCAGATAGACCCGGTGGACAATCTGCGGCTTCTCCTAGACTTGAGACTCCCGCTCAAAGAGTAGGTGGCAGTCATGGCTAGGAGAGCTTTTGCACAACTTTGTGTTATGTAGCAGTTGTTCCCTTTTCTGGATCGTAAGGCCTATACACGGTCACTCGTTCCCTATTCATCTCCCTGTTGGATTACTGCAATGCATTCTATATGGGGCTACCTTTGAAGAGTATTTGGAAGCTACAACTGATACATAACCCAACTGCACAGACAGTTCTGGAGACCCTCTTGGGTGGCACATGTAACACTGCTGTTATGCGCAGTGGTTGCCAGTTTGCTTTCATATCTAACTCAAGGTGTTGGTTATAAAGCCCTTTATGGAATGGGTCCAGGGTATCTGAGAACCATCTTGCCCCAATAGGACTAACCCACCCCACTTGTTTCAGTGGAAAGGATCCTGTCAGCCAAAAAATTTCGTCTGGTGAGGTCCAGGAGAAGAGCCTTTTCTGCTGTGGCTCCTGCTCTCTGGACTATTCTCTCATCAGAGTTGAGGTCCATCCTCACACTCCTGGCTTTCCAGAGGAGCCTAAAAATGTGGCTCTGTTGTTTGGCTTAGGGCATGTCAACCCAAGGACCGGGGGCCGGATGCAGCCTGCAATGTGGTTTCATGTGGCCCGCGAAACCATCCTGGAAACAGTGAGGGAATGGCCCCCACAGCCTTGGCCCTGACCCAGGCCACCCGGGAGCCAATGTACAATTTTTTGGTAGCCATCTATGCTGAAACGCATTCAGTCTTAGCTCCACAAGGCCGTCTAAAAACAGCAAGGGACCGGCCCCTGCCACGTTGGCCCCACCCCCTGGGCACGCGCTTGGGAGGTGTCACTCTTTGTGAGGAATGAAGAAATGCACCATCGCCTGGAAGTGGCCAGCAAATGGCCCTCTCCTACTTCACATATCCAGCTTGATGGTCTCCGGAGGAGTGGTTTCAACAGACAGTGGGGCACTCTCCTCACAGCGCCAAGAGGCTGAGCCAGGTGGCATGAATCCAAAAAGAAACATGCTGCAGCTCAGCCCCCAGCCTGCCTGATTTCAGCAGGCAGCAAGGTGCAAAGCTGGCGAGCTTCACACTGCCCAGCTCAGCCTCTCAGCGCTGTGATGAGAGCGCCTGCTGCCTGCCGAAACTGGGCAGGCTGGGGGCTGGGTAATATCAAGCTTCTTTTCAGATTCGCGCTGCCTGGCTCAGCCTCTCGGCACTGTGAGGAGAAGGCCTCACTGCCTGCCGAAACTAGGCAGGAGGGGGCTGGATGGCATTGTGCAGGTAATGTCGACTCTCATTTGTTCATGGCGTCCCCTCCCCCAAAGCCCACCAACCCAGATATGTGAAGTAGGCGAGGCCCATGTGCTGGCCTCTTCCAGGTGATGGTGCATTTCTTCACTCCTCACAAAGGGTGACACCTCCCCAGCTGCATTTCTTGCCTGTTTTTCTCCCTCCCTCATCTCAAATATTTTCCCACTACTCTGTTCTTAGGAAGGAAGGAAGGAAGGAAGGAAGGAAGGAAGGAAGGAAGGAAGGAAGGAAGGAAGGAAGGAAGGAAGGAAGGAGAGGGAGGGTCTGAGGGAAGTCCTGCCTTAGTCCTACCCTGCTGCCCTTTCACAATCCCCTTGCCCCTTCCTCCTGGCCTATCCTGGGAGTCTTCCATCCTATTGCTAAGGAAGCTTTGGATACAAAGCCTGATCTTCTCCCATGGAGAGGGAGTGGGCCTCTCTCTGACTTTGCCCTCATACCCATCATGAGCAACCTGGCTAAGGAGAGCAAGCACATCATCAGCAGCCTTGAGGAGGAGATAAGTGCAGCTGGGCACCCCCTTGGGGTACTGGGGTTGGGCTTGGTGCCGCGAGTGCTTGAGGGCTGAGCTGGGCATTTCACCTCTGCTGCCCGGGCTCCATGAAGCCCGTGGCACTATCCAGCCCCCCCCCGCATGGCCTGAAAGGAACAGTGAGGGTCTTCCAGTGGACTATGCTTTGGTGCTTGCCCCGGTCCCACCCCCTTCTGCCAGAGACCCTCAGATCTGTCCCGCTCCTGCCCAGGCCTCTACAGACACCCTTGAAGTGAATGATGAAGAGCTGGCCATGCCCACCCAGTAGGCCACACCTACTCCGGCCATGCCCATCCAGTAGGCCACGCCCACCCTGGCCACCCCTACCCAGCCCCCCCGAGGACAACCATAATGCTGATGCAGCCCTCAATGAAATTGAGTTTGACACCCCTGGCTTTGGGCTCCGACGGGCTGCTACATAGGGGGTGGTTGACAGTCTAGAGAAGATTCTCACCCCCAGGACTCCCATCATCTTGGTATTTAACTTTTAACTTCTCTATTCAATTTTTTTCTAATTTTAACTGTTTTCTAGCATTTTTTAACTTTTTATTTAAGTTGCCCAGAACTGCTGTATCAGTTGGATGGGCAGCATAGAAATTAATTAATTAAAAGAATTAATTAAAAATGTTTCATTTAGAGCAACATTTATGAGATAATCCAAGACTTGTGATCCTAAGCAGAGATACTGCACACTTCTTGGTATTTCTCCCAGTGCTATACTTCTGTGGCTCAGTGAATAAGCAGTGCAAATTAGAAATGGAAAAGCAACCTTAGCTGCACAAGTTGATGGGGCTTTGGAGGATCAGAGAGTACATAAGTAAAAATCATGCAATAATAAGAGCTTAGAGAAACAGGCACTCCTCCAGCACTTTGCCTTGGCACCAGTGAAAACAGAAATCTGTTGTGGTTATGTGTTTCTCTACGAGTAGGGTTCTTGAATGCTGTGGATTTTGTGTTTTAATCCTTGCATACCACCCAAAATTATTGTTATGAGATGAGCAGACAGGTCAGTCAAGGTTAATCTAAAACTGCCTTAAGAAAGGATACCAAAAATCTCTGGATCACTCTGGTTGGAAGCCAGATTCCTAAGTTAACTTGCAGAACCAGGTACATAAATAAGGGCTTCAGATCAGAAGGTGTGATGATGGTCACTACCACAAGGGCTGGTTTATAATTAAATCATAAGCACGAGTGAATCAGCTGTGACTCAATTCACTCAGCCCAGACATCATATCAATTACATATTTTACAGCTCTGCTACAATAAGCACAGGAGGAAAAATTCTGAAATAACTGGTGGTACAGATAAAAGGAGATGCAGCAGCCACATGAACAGGTCACCAGCACTGGAAATATTTATAGTATCATGCGGGGATTCAAATTTGGGGGTTGCAGAGAACTACGGATGCATATTTCCAATCACTGTTCAGGTCTCAAATTTCTATCCATAAAGCTGGTATTCTTTGCCAGGTACCATCATGCTACTTAACATATTCTTATAATGATATTCTTATAACTATATTAAATTAAATGGAAAGATTATTTGGGGGAACCATTTTGAGCTCTTTGAAGGAAGGGTGGGATATACTGTAAATGTCCTCAATATGGACAAAAGGTAGGAATTTAATTCAGATGAATTAGAAATTTCCAAGCAATACAATTCATTAATAGCCAGATGATTTGGAAAACAAACATGTCTCAACTATGTACTTAAAATTTATTAACCACACCCAAAATTACTGCATGGCACTTGGGTTACATGGATCTAAACCAGATCATCCCAATCTGGTGCTTTTAGATGTGTCAATTCTTATTTTCTCCTCACCAACATCAACTGGGAGACATCCCAAGTACCAGCACAGAGGTACACAATCAAAAGCAGTGCTCAAATGCTTAGCTGAAGGATCAAGGCAAGCAGAGATCTGCTTGCAAATTGAACAAAAAAGGAAGGTGCTTGCTTTCCATTCAGTGAGAGATGAACTCACCTGTTCTTCTCTTGCTCCTCTGGTTTCTCAGAAATATTATCATCTTCTCTTGTACTGCTCCAGGGTCAATTTCTGAGCTCTGAGACAATATCAGTCTTGAGAAAGGAGATGGCAGCAGAAGTTAAGAGGAGTCTGCAGAACAGAACAATAGTAAAAGCTAGAGACTTTGTGATCATTCAACTTGACCACTATTAAGGAAAGCAGCAGGCTGTTTGTGCATTTCCATCGCCAATTGCTTGGATTACTTCTCTGTTTCAGAAAATAGCTAGGAAAGCTTTGCTAGGTGAGGTGAAACTCATCAAGAACATTGTGAAGACCAATGGAGAAGTGGCCATCTTAATTTCATTTCATATTTCATTTGCGAGCCTCCTTTGATATAGCACATCAGATAGCACAGGTGGTGATGCAGGGAAGTAATATTGACCTTGAACTAAATAGTCTTGGGAGGGGGCTTCTAAATTGCCATGTGTGTTAATTGCTTCAACTGTGAAACACACAGCTATTGTCTCACCATGCAGCGCCTTCATGACAAAAGTAGTTCACTTCTGTCCTGATGCTAAACAGCTTTACTAAGGAATGAGCACTTTCTGGTTAAAGAAAAGAATAGGATTTCTAGAGTAAAGATACTATAAAATACTTATTGCATAATATGTACACGACTGGTAAATGATGCAAGGCTGGATAAATAAGGAGAAAGAGAAGACGCTGTAGGGAAGATTATTTATACTGTCAAACTGTGCTTAGATTTCTAGCAAGGTCTTCATCGAATGCAGCTCCTCTCAAATGAAAAGTCATATAAATAAATCATGTGAATCTCATATAGGTAGTCTTTGATTTATACTCATTTGTTTAGTGACTGTTAGGGTTACTGAAGGCACTGAAAAAAAGTGACGTACAATCAGTCTTTGCAATATACAACCATTCTAGCATCCTCATAGTCACATGATCAGCCATCCGGCATATTATTTACTATCGTTGCAGCATCCTGGGGTCATGTGACTGCCATTCATAACCTTCCCAGCCAACCTCCAACAAGCAGAGTCAATGGAGAAAGCCGGATTTCCTTAATGACTGTGTGATTCACTTAACAACTGCAGTGATTCACTGGCAAAACCCATAAAACTGAGCATGATTCACTTAACAACTGCTTTACTTAACAATACTGGTCCCAAGTGTGGTCATAAGTAGAGGACTATATTTACTGCAGATTTGCAGTAGAAACATCTGCACAGAAAGACAGAAAAAAAGAACCAAATGTACAGGTACACTATACTGTAGGTGGTACCTTGCTAAATAGTAGTAACTGTGAGAGGGATCTCAGAGTCCTAGTGGACAATCACTTAAATATGAGCCAGCAGTGTGCTGCAGCTGCCAAAAAAGCCAATGCAGTCCTAGGCTGCATTAACAAAGGGATAGAATCAAGATCACGTGAAGTGTTAATACCAATTTATAACACCTTGGTAAGGCCACACTTAGAATACTGCATCCAGTTTTGGTCACCACGATATAAAAAAGATGTTGAGACTCTAGAAAGAGTACAGAGAAGAGCAACAAAGATGATTAGGGGACTGGAGGCTAAAGCATATAAGAAATGGTTGCTGGAATTGGGTATGTCTAGTTTAATGAAAAGAAGGACTAGTAGTGACATGATAACAGTATTCCAATATCTCAGGGGTTGCCACAAAGAAGAGGGAGTCAAACTATTCTCCAAAGGCAGGACAAGAAGCAATGGATGGAAATTAATCAAGGAGACAAGCAACCTAGAACTAAGGAAAAATTTCCTGACAGAACAATTAACTAGTGGAATATTCTGCCTCCAGAAGTTGTGAATGCTCCAACACTGGAAGTTTTTAAAAAGAAATTGGACAACCATTTGTCTGAAAGGGTATAGAGTTTCCTGCCTGAGCAGGGGGTTGGACTAGATGACCTCCAAAGTCCCTTCCAACTCTGTTATTCTATTCTATCCCTATAAATCTCATAATTGCCATAAAGGCTTTTCAGCTGATTTTACTAGTATTAATATCAGTAGACCAAGAGGCCCCTAAGACCTTGGCTGAGTTCCAAGACCAGAAACGCAACCCCGCATTTCCACATTGCACTGAAATCAATAGAACGTATTTCCAGGTTGCAGCCTGAACCATAAAGTGACAACAGGAACCATACATAAAGGCATCCATTCCTTACCACAGTGGCACCATAACAATAAAATATGTGCCCCAACGTCATAACACAAGCTCCACCATTTTATAATTGTGACACACTTTGGTGAATGTATGTGCACCTCTGAGTAGTGTTGACTCCTGGAGACTGACTGGATAAGTCCCTGCCTTTTAGTTGGCAAGATTTCAGAAGTGTTTTGCCATTTCCTCCTTCCTTGGGCTGAAAGAAAGTGACTGGCCCAAGGTCACCCAGCTGGCTTTGTACCTAAGGCAGGACCAGAAGTCATGGTCTCCTGGATTCTAGCCCACTGCCTTGACCACTACACCAAACCGCTCTTTTGTAACATTATGTAGCACATAAATACATAAGGGATGGAGTTTTCATCACAACATTACAACACCTGCTTTATCTTTGTCCTTCATCCACAGATATCTGTGACTGTACACCATAAAGTATGTATTAATAGAATAATAGGATTAGTACAGAACATCAAAATCTGTACTAGATCAAACCCTTGATCAGTGCAGAAGTCCAAATGAAAAGATCCGTGTCTAGCCCCATCCAGTAATGGAAAACCAATCACCTCCCTTGACAACTGACCATGCAGTCAAACCATTTTTATTGCTAGAAAGCATTCCTAACATTCACCCAAAATCAGCTTTCCTACAACTTAAGACAAGTTATTCTAAGTCCTGCCTTCTTGGACAATAGGGAACAAGTCATGGCCTACTTTTGTGTGAAGTTCCTTCAGGTATTTGAAATATTCAGGTAGTCCTTGACTCACAACAATTCGTTTAGTGACCATTTGAAGTTACAGCAGCACTAAAAAAAAGTGACTTGTGACTCTTTTTCACATTTACGACCACTATAGCATTCCCCATGGACATGTAATCAAAATTCACACCCTTGGCAACCGGTTCATATTTATGACGGTTGCAGTGTCCCAGGGTCATGTGATCCATTTTTGCAACCTTCTGACAAGCAAAGTCAATGGGGAAACCAGATTCATTTAACAACCACGTTACTAACTTAACAACTGCAGTGATTCACTTAATAACTGTGGCAAGAAAGATGGTAAAATGGGGCAAAACTCACTTAAGAAATGTTTCATTTAGCAGCAGAAATCTTGGGCTCAGATGTGGTCATAAATCAAGGATTACCTGTACTTCCACTTAGCATACTCAGTTCCCCCAGTCTCTTCTTGAGGGACTAAATTTCCAGTCCCCAAATTAGCTTCATCGCTTCACTTTATGTTTCTTCCAGCTTGCCTGGATCCTTTTCAAGTATGAAGTCCATGAACCAAGGTCCTTATTTCCCAACTTCAGCAACTTCAATGTGTTTGGACTTCAACTCCCAGACTTCTCCAGCCAGTATACTAGAGAACAGAGTGAATATAATAACTTCCTGTGGCTATGAAAGGAATGCAGCCAAATAAAACTAAGTTTCCTTCTTTTGCTGCCAGGTTGAATTGCTGATTCATGTTCAGTTCAGACTCAGATATTCTCCAGCAAGATACTTCCTATTCTATAATATATGTTTGTTCTGTCCCTACAACTTTACATCAGGTACTGCAATAGGGCATCCATTCTTCATTTTTAACATAGAATAATTCACTGTGAGTTTGTATGATGTTTTCCCTTTTAACATGTTTGCTCTCAGGACTTATTTTTAAGCCCAGAGTATTGGGATTTACATTTGGAATACTGCAGGCAGAATGTTCCAGTGCAATTTTCTGCGCTCTCCAACTGATTGTTTGATAATTATATCAATTTTGCCTTAATTTTGGTTTATATCAAAAGTGCTGAAGCGCAGGAATTACTGATTTCTGGTTGCAGGAATTACTGACCTCTGCTGGATAGATGTTGACTTGCACACACACGGTTTTTATTCAAAGCTCATAGTGTAAGTGTGTCCCATTAGTTTAAAGATCTTGTTGGCAGTAGTTATCCAATCTTAAATTATCAGAACTGTTATTAAAAAGTTTAATCTAGTTTTATCTAGTCTCAGAAATTCTTTGAAAATATACACCTAGAGTAGTAAAAATATATATGATATAGGAAATCCCTGTTTAAGCGTTAAGGGCAAAGAATGTCATTCTGAAGATAAGAAAATGAGGTCTAGGGACCTCTAATCCTATGCGATGTATGGGTAAGTTTCTTCAGAATTAAACTAATCCCAACGGATATTGATAGAAGATCTTCATAAACATCACTCTGAAGACTTAGTGGCAAGCTGAAAACTTCTCATGCCTGTCACAATCAGCTCCATCTACCAGAATCTGTTGCTTGTTATCCTTTTCTTAGCAACTTCAGGAAATGGAAACTATCTGAAATAATTTTAAAAAGACATTAATACTCTTCCTTAGAAAATTACTGGAGGAAAACAAGAAGATTGGAAAGCAGAAAATTGTTTCAATATGCCAACTTCTTGGAGACTCAAAAAGACCTATATTGACATATTGCAACATGGAGGCTCCTGATAAAGGTTCTAGCCGTGTCCGCATCTAGAACACGCTATTAATTCCCTCCTTCTGGGTTTTCCCTTCCTTCCACATTCCCAGAATTGTTAGCATTCCACTGCCATTGAATGGATTCATTTTCCATTGACCTATTGAACTTTCTTCCTCCCCTCAACATATTGTTTATAAGTAATTGGAAACTGAATTGGGCAGTATTAAAACACCTGTGGTATCTGTTGAGTCCTTCGCGAAATGGCAAGACACGAGAAGCAGTTGTAGTTCTCAGGAAACTTCTTTATTCATGTGTTCAGCTTACAGTTAGAAGACGCCGACTACGCCCAAAACTCCTGGCCTCTTATATAGGCCATCCCCTAGTAAATCTGCAACTTTTGGCGCGCCAGCACTTGCGCATGCGCACAAGTACTGGCGACAGCCTGTCTGGTCCCGGGCAGCCTGCACCTGCCGGAACCGTTTGCAATGCCCCGAGCCTGCTTGCACAGGCTCAGGACATAAC